TCATAGATCCATTGTCGGTTATTGAAAAAATCTATATGGTTCATTAATGTCCTTTAAGGAAGGAAACTGCCATCCTTACCTAGTCTGACCTATATGTGACTCCAGACCCACACTGAGTTTGGTCAGATTGGCCATGCTAAATTATCCCATACGGATGTGCAGGCTAGGCGGATTAGCTATGGGAGCTGTGGTGTCACGGGGATAGGGTGAGGAGATGCATCCGGGTGGGATGCTGTTCGGAGAGTCAGTCCAGACTCAATGCACCTAAAGGCCTCTTTCCACACTGTAGGGATTCTGTGATTCTGTTTCTCCCAAACTACCTTCCACCATCATCCCAACAGGGTGAGCCCCCTCTCAGGAGGAGCACTTCATCCCTGAATTTTCCAAGAGTTTAAGAATGGTTGACTCTTAAATGCCCTCTGGGAAGGGCCATAAATGACACCCTCATCCCGTGAATGAATAGAAAAAAATTTGGGAACGAGCTCACAATCTGTCTTTTCTCCAACATGATGGTCAGGGCATTTATCTTTGAGAATGGAATCTTCCAGTGCAATCACTTTCTGGAATTTCACATGGTTGTTGGTTTATTTTAGTGGTGGTCAGTTATCTTTTCTGAGGTGACCAATTTTTCAAGTGCATCTGGCAGAGCTAGGGATTTGGTGGAGCAAGTTTGCATTTGAAATTCCATTAATTGTGTGCGTGGTGGGGGGGGCACGTTTTTCAGATTTTGGTTTTGAGTCAGTATGCCATCGTGACAACTGACATAACACTGATATCTGGTAGCCAAGCCTCCAGGATTGCCTGGGAAACTCCAGGAATAACGTTAAATGACGTGAGCAACTTTGGAGAAAATTCCGACCTGGCAGAAAATTCATTGCGGCTTTAAAAAGTGCTTGGATTTCTTTGAGCTGTCTTTCATTTTCTTTAGACGCTTTCATTTATTAGTTCGGAATATATTAGGTTTAGGGAGGAGAAAGCTTTTTGACCTGGTAGAGAAGCTAAAACCAACAGGCCCTGAAATGAAGCCTTTGACAATAGATCCAGCACAAATTGGCAACTTTAGCCCTGGATCTCTTCTTGCTGCCATGGACTTTCCTGTATTATTTACCACTCAATTCTGAGTAATTCTTCTCTGGAGGTTTTCCCTAACTGCTCTAGGTTCAAAGCAATGCACCACATCTTGAGGTAATCAACTTTCAATCATTCCACAAACAAGAAAGACAGAGAGAGATGGAAAGAAAAGGGCATAAAGTCCCATTTTACATATATATTATTTATGAAATTCAAGCTAAGTACACCAACAAAATAATTTATGAAAGTCATAGACAATAATAGGTTTGCATCAGCGGTAAATATATTAAATACAGATAGTGCATACTGATGTATGGAAGGAGGTGTTATTCCTGGGTTCTGGCTCCCTCTGCTGTTGAAAGGAGTGAATTGAAACTCTTGGAAAATTCAGTGATGAGGTGCTCCTCCTGAGGTGGGGCTCCCCCTGTTGGGTTGATGGTGGAAGGCAGTTTGGGAAAAACAGAATCACAGAATCCCTACCGTGTGGAAAGAGGCCTTTCGGTGCATTGAGTCTGGACTGACCCTCTGAACAGCATCCCACCCGGATGCATCTCCTCACCCTATCCCCGTGACACCACAGCTCCCATAGCTAATCCACCTAGCCTGCATATGCCTATGGGATAATTTAGCACGGCCAATCTGACCAAACTGCACATTGTTGGATTGTGGGAGGAAACCATAGCACCTGGTGGACATGGGAGGATTGTGCAAGCTGCACACACAGACAGTCTTCGGAGGCTGGAATCGAACCTGGCTCCCGTGCACTGTGAGGCAGCGGTGCTAACCACTGAGTCACAGTGCCCCCCCTCTATTATTTGGGCAGAGTTGTATTACTGTGTCAAGGGTCTCACCTGCCAGTGATAGACCAGGGCTGCTTCTTTACAGGAAAGCCCAGACAACCGTGTGCAAGTCAGGTAACATTCCCTAAGATTGAAAACCCCAGGGTAGATGTCCTGCTCGGCAAGAGCTGCTGGCCATTCACTGCAAACCCACCCTACCCCACCTTGTGCCCAGCTGCTCGAGAGACCACACTCCTGTAGGAAGGACAGGCTCTGGCGTCCCAGAAATTATGGAGGGTCCAGGCCATGGGAAAGTATTGTGTGAGCGTAGTGCTCTGGGAGGAAGGGGTGGTTTTGCAAGATGGGGGGTTGCAAGGCAAGGGGAACACTAGGACAGAAGAAATTGCAAGGGTGTGGCTTCCTGGCAGGGTACCGCCTTCCCAATGTCCATTCCCATAATTGGCACTGAGCATCTTTGATCAAGGGGTGCTCGTCACCCCCATCCCATTGAAGTGACAAGTGCCCTACACTGTATTGACCTGTCGTGTACGCTTCATTGTGATAGGCTTTCCTCTAGTGAGGTGAATCACAGACCACTTTCTCAAGGGCAGCCTGGGACAGGCAATAAAATGCTGGTCAGCCAGCGAAATTCGCGTCCCACAAGTGAATAAAAAGAAAGAATGACGCCGTGTTGAGGTTCTCCATCAGCAGTGGAGCAGCAAGGCCCAGAATTCCAGTTGAGATGGTGAGGAAGGAGGATCAGGTAATGACACCACCCTGCTAAGGCAATAAATAAGGTATAGAAGCAGAAGTAGGCCATTCAGCCCATCAACACTGCTCTAGCATTCAACAACATCATGACCAATCATGATAAATCCTCAACTATACTTTCCTGCCTTATTCCCAATGACTTTTGATTCAGTTACTGATTAAAAACCCATCTGGCCTTTGAATATACTTAATGACCCATTCTTGACAGCTTTCTGTGGTAAATAATTTCACAGATCCACAACTCTCTGAGAAAAAAAATCCTCTTCATTTCTGTCTTGAATGGCTGACGTATTGTTCTGAAACTGGATCCCCAAATTCTGGACTCCCTCCGATGGGAAACATTCTTTCAACATCTAGCCTATCAAGCTGCCTCAGAATCCTACATGTTTTGATAAGATCAAACTTCAGCCCATGTCCAGCCTGCTTGAACTTTCTTAATAAGGCACCGCCTTCATCACAATAATCAATCTAATGAACCTTCTCTGAACTGCCTCCATTGTAATTACATTCCTCCTTAAATATGGAGATCCAAGCAGTGTGGACTACTCGAGGTACCAATGTCCTATATAGTTGTAATGGGACTTCTTTTATGTTCCATCCCTCCTGCAATAAAGTTAACAATCCATTTGTATTTATAATTACTTGCTGTAACTGCACCCTAACATTCTGTATTCCATGTACAAGGATAACTAGATCCTGCATTATCACAACATTCTGCCATATCTCATAGAATCCCTTCAGCGCAGATTGAGGCTATTTGGCCCACCAAATATGTAATCGATCCTCTGTAGAGCTTCCCACCCATACCCAGCCCCCGACCCTATCCTCATAATCCCTTATTTAGCATGACCAATCCACCTAACCTGCATATCTTTGGACTGTGGGAGGAAACCGGAGCACCCGGAGGAAACCCAAGCAGACACGGGAAGGGTGTGAAAACTCCACACAGTGGCCCAAGGCTGGAATTGAACCAAGGTACCTTATTATAGATATATATGTCTGCTTGGTGAAATGAAATATCATCTTCTCTCCTTTCATTAGCATCCTCAGTAGTTCGAGGGTCACTGAAGCACAGCTTCATGCCATGATTTTACCATCAGGGAGGGTGAGGAGCAGGCAGGCCTTAAGTTGACCTCAACTAGAACTGAGATGGAATCTCACCATATTGACATTATTCTGAACCCTGTGATAACCATCTTGCCAGTTGAGCTAACCAGACTCCAGGCTTCCTACATTGCTCGTTAAAAATCCTCTTGCATTATTTGACTGGTCAGACATTCAATATCATCAGAAAAAAAATCAGATAGCCATTCATCTGATATCTGTTTGGGGGTTGTTGCTGTGCACAGAATTGGTACACATTTGTCAATGTAACACCGATCTCTAGATTTCAAAGGAATTATTATAAAAACTGCTTTGAGATGTGTCAATGCAAGAAGGCATTAAATAAGTTCAAATGTTATTATTCATTATGAAGTCATCAGGGATCTGGCCACATAAGTTTGAAGCATGAATTCTCTGAAGTAGCTTTTTCCTTAGATTCCTTTCCCTTTTTGTGGATCAGATACTTTAATGTGGTTGCCAGACCACTAACTACTGAGACTCCTTCATTAGATCAGCCTCAGGGTGAAGCAACCAAATCAGCACTGACAACGAGGACCGTCTCACTATCGACTGGTAATCTCTTCAATTTCTTTTTGTGATTATTACATTTAATTTATCCTCACAGTGACCTGTATCTTTAAGTAGAGGTGACATTAAAAATGATAAAGCTGCCTGATTGCTTGTTTCTAAGCATGTAGTGCCTGCTAATTTAAAAGCAAGTTAAAACGCAAGTTACCATACTCTATGAAGAAATGTACAGTGGTGATATTCACTTCCCTGACAGTTTACCCTGATTATGATCGGCTTATATTCATTGATGTCTAATTGAAGTTTGGATGTATTATAATGAAATTTAGATACATGGATGTAACTTGACACTGGCTAAAAGGATGCCATATTCGGCATTATTTTGGGTTTAATTTTGGGGTTGATCCCAAAAAGGTAACTCCAAGTCTCCATTGTAAATCTTTCTACTACGGTGGTATAACATATTTAATTCACAGAAGGGATGTGCTAAACTGTAAACCTACCATTACCCCTTTGTTCAGGTCCATTCAATAAGATGGGGTTTCTAGCCTCCTGAACTATTCTAGGGTGTCAGCTTCATTGAGGGAAGCAGACTCTCAGTCTCTGTGCTAAGTCACTGATAAATCAGGACCACTGAAGCATCACCAGGAGAGAGGTAGAAAGTCGAGACCCTTAAGCCCGGTGTTAAAGTAAGTTTGTTTTAATAATAAAAAATAAAATCATTAGGAATGTTTTAATTACACTTACCTGTCTAATTTTAATCTTTGTAGGCAGTCCTTCAATGGGGCGAAGTTCCAGATCAGGCATGTATAAATAATAAAGAGTTGTGTGACTATTTCTCTTTTGACTCAGCTTGTGTTGAAAGCCTGTCTCTGGCTCTTCCTCATACTCTGGAGTTTCTTTGTACTTTGCCATCACTTCAGGGAGGCGAAGATGCAACAGCTCATGAGCAGAAGGCCGATACCTACCCCAAGTGAAAGGCACAAGCTTAGTCTCAGTGGAGATCTCGCCCACAATAACCCTGGAAGACAGCTAGACAGGAGGAGAGAAGGAGAAAGAATACCACGTAGCAGAATGACAGTAAAATAAATAATTGGAGAAAAAGTTTGGGCAGCACGGTGGCTCAGTGGTTAGCACTGCTGCCTCACAGCGCCAGGGACCTGGGTTCAATTCCACCCTTGGATGACTGTCTGTGTGGAGTTTGCGCAATCTCCCTGTATCTGCGTGGGTTTCCTCCAGGTGCTCTGGTTTCCTCCCACAGTCCAAAGATGTGCAGGCTAGGTGGATTGGCCATGCTAAATTGCCCAGAGAGTTCCAGGATATATAGGTTAGGGGGATTAGTCATGGTAAATGTGGAGTTATGGGGATAGGGTCAGGGAGGTGGATCTGGGTGGTATGCTATTTGGAGGATCGGTGCAGACTCAATGGCTTCTTTCTGCACTGTAGGGATTCTAGGATTCAACATTCCTTGGAAGGAAGCCAATTCTCAATCTTGTGCTTTGTTAAACTGATTGTCCATTGAGGTCATGAGGTTGCTGAATTCAGAACAGAAAGGGCCCAAAATGCATACCACACACAACAGAGAGAGACAAACCAGCTGACCTTTCTTACAACAGTTATAAAATGATTTTAAGTAATAAGTAAACTGACCATGACATTATTAGTTCTGTATACACCAATGGAAGAGATGAAGACCATTACCACTTCAGCTAACAAATCTCTGCAGAAATACTTTGTAGAGAACCTGTTTACCAACCATGTCAACACCCTGAAGCATGCTGGTGTGTGTGTGTGTGGAGGTAAATCAATGATGCAGATTCCATATGGCCATCTCGCAATTAGTTATTGTACACAAGGTATGTAGGAAATCTAACATCAGTACAAGATTCCTTGATATCACTGACTCTCCTGATACTTCTGTTAGATCCATGGTGCAATACAACATTGGTGAGATACAAAGTCACAGGAGAACATTATAAGTGACGTTTGTCGACAGTTGACAATGCTTGCAGGATCTATTATCATAAGAACAAAAGAAATAGAAGCAGTACCAGATCATTGGATTCCTCACAACTGCTCTGCCATTCAATTAGATCACAGCTGATTTGACTATGGCCTCAACTTCACTTCCTGGTTGCCCCCATAATCTTTAGTTCCCTTGTTAATCAAAAGTCTGTCTAACTCAATTCAAAATATATTCAATGACCCAACTTCCACTCTCTTTGGGGTAGAGAATTCCAAAAAGTAACAATTCTTGAAGTAGAGATAACACTGTGTGGAGCTGGAGGAAAACAGCAGGTCAGGCAGCATCAGAGGAGCAGGAAAGCTGATGTTTCAGGTCGGGACCCTTCTTCAGAAATGGGGAGGGGGAAGGGAGCTCAGAAATAAATAGAGAGGAGGGGTGGGGCTGGGGGAGGTAGGTGGGATGGGGATAGGTGAGTGCAGGTAGGCAGTAGTGGGGATTAATCAGTGAGGTGGGAGAGAAGATGGACAGGTTATATCAGGTCAAGGAGTTGGGGATGAGAGGGAGGGTTGGTCATGGGAGAGGCCGGGGGTGGGGAGATTTTGAAACTGGTAAAGTCTACAAATAGACCATTGGGCTGTAGGCTCCCGAGGTGGAGTATTAGGTGCTGCTTCTCCAGTTTCTGGGTGGCATCATTATGACACTGGAGGAGGCCCAGGATGGACATGTCACCCAGGGAGTGGGAGGGGCAGTTGAAATGGTTCGCGACCAGAAGGTGTTGTTGTTCATTGCGAATAAAGCGCAAATGCTCTACAAAGCGGTCTCTGAGCCTCCGTTTGGTCTCACCAATGTAGAGGAGGCCACATCGGGAGCAGCAGATGCAGTAGACCACATTGGCGGATGTGCAGGTGAACCTCTGACTGATGTGGAAGGTTTGTTTAGTGCCTTGAATGGAGGTGAGGGAGGAGGTGTAGGCGCAGGTGTAGCACTTCCTGCGGTTTCAGGGAAAGGTGCCAGGGATAGTGGGGCTAGTGGGGAGTGTGGAGCGGACAAGCGAGTCATGGAGAGAGCGGTCCCTATGAAAGGCAGATAAGGGTGGGGAGGGAAATGTCTCTTTGGTCGTGGGGTCGGATTGCAGGTGGCAGAAGTGGCAGAAAATGATGGGTTGCTTACGGAGGTTAGTGAGGTGATATGTGAGGACAAGGGGGATTCTGTCTTTGTTTTTGTGGAGGGGAGGGGATGTGAGGACAGAGGTGCGGGAAACGCAAAAGGTGCGGTCGAGAGCATTTTCGACCACCAAAGGGTGGACGTTGCAGTCCTTGAAATAAGAGGACATCTGGAATGTTCGGGAGTGGAACGCCCCATCTTGGGACCAGATGCAGTGGAGGCGGAGGAATTGGGAGTAGGAATCCTTGAAGAATTTTCTCTTAATTTTGCCCATATAGGAAGTTCCTTCTCTTCAAACTGTGTCTCCTAGTTCTAGAGAACCTCTACCCCCATAAGGGAAATCATTCTCTAAGCATCCACCCTGCCTAATGCCCTCAGAATCTTCTGTGTTTCAATAAGATCACCTCTCATACTGGTTCATGTTGTGGCACTATTTAAGAAAGGTAATAAGGAAAAGCCAGGGAACTATAGACCGGTGAGCCTGACACTGGTGGTGGGCATGTTGTTACAGGGTCCTGATGAAAGCTTTCAGCATGAAACATTGATTTTCCTGCTCCTTGGATGCCATCTGACCTGCTGTGCTTTTCCAGCTCCACATTTATTGACTCTAGTTTCCAACAACTGCAGTCCTTACTGTCTCCACATTGTTGGAGAGAATCCTAAGGGACAGGATTTACATATATTTGGAAAGGCAAGGACTGACCAGGGGTAGTCAACATGGCTTTGTGAGTGGAAAATCATGTCTCACTAACTTGATTGAGTTTTTTGAAGAAGTAACAAAGAGGATGATGATGGCAGAGCTGTGGATATGATCTATATGGACTTCAGTAAGGTGTTTGACAAGGTTCCTCATAGTAAACTGGTTGCAATGTTAGATCACGTGGAATACAGAGAGAACTAGCCATCTGGATAGTGGTTCAAAGGTAGAAGATAGAGGGTGGTGGTGGAGGGTTGCTTTTCAGACTGGACTGGCGGTGTGCCACAAGGCTCGGTGCTGGGTCCGCTGCTTTTTGTCATTTATATAAATTATCCGGATGTGAACATAGGAGATATGGATAGTAAGTTTGCAGATGACACCAAAATTGGAGGTGTAGTGGACAGCGAAGAAGGTGACCTTGGAGTACAATGGGATCTTTATCAGATGGACTAATGGGGTGAGGGTTGGCAGATGGAGTTTAATTTAGATAAGTGTGAGGTGCTGCATGTTAGAAAGGCAAATCAGGGCAGGACTTATACACTTTATGGTAAAGTCCTGGAAATAGTTGCTGAACAAAGAAATCTTGGAGTGCAGGTTCATACTTCTACGAAAGCAGAGTCCCAGGTCAACAGGACAGTGAAGGTAGCATTTGGTATGCTTTATTGGTCAGTGCATTGAGTATAGGAGTTGGGAGTTCATGTTGTGGCTTTACAGGACATTGGTTCAGTCACTTTTGGAGTATTGCATGCAATTCTGGTCTCCCTCCTATAGGAAGGATGTTGTGAAACTAGAATAGGTTCAGAAAAAATTTACGAGGATGTTGCCAGGGTTGGAGGGTTTGACCTTTAGGGAGAGGCTGAATAGGCTGGGGCTATTTTCCCTGGAGCATCGGAGGCTGAGGGGTGACCTTATAGAGATTTGTAAAATCATGAGGGGCATGGATAGGGTAAATAGACAAGGTCATTTCCCTGGGGTGGGGGACTCCAAAACTAGAGGGCATAGGTTTAAGGTGAGGGGGGAAAATATAAAAGGGATCTAAGGGGCAACTTTTTCACGCAGAAAGCGATGCATATATGGAATGAACTGCCAGACAAAGTGGTGGACGCTGGTGTGATTACAATATTTAAAAGGCATCTGGATGGGGATATGAATAGGAAAGGTTTAGAGGGATATTGGCCAAATGCTGGTAAATGGGACTAGATTAATATAGGATATCTGGTTGACATGGACGAGTTGGACTGAAGGGTCTGTTTCCGAACTGTATCTCTATGTCTCTGTGAGTATAGCCTCAATCAGTTCAAACATTCCTCAAAAAAATAACCTCTTTCTCCAAAGAGTAAACCTTCTCGCAACTGCCTCCAGTGCAATGTTCCTTAAATAAAGAGACCTAAACCAGATACAGCATTCCAGTTGTGGTCTCACTGATCCCCCATACTGTTGTAGCAAGTCTTCCCTAATTTTATACTCCAGCCCCCGCTGCACTAAAGGCTGACTATTCATATGCCTTCCTAAGTACTCACTGTACCTGTATGTTGGAATGGGTGAGATCCCTCCATACCTCAGCATTCTGCAGTCTCTCTCTGGTTAAATAATAACCAGCTTTTCTATTCTTTGCACTAAAGTGGACAACCTCAAGTTATATCCATTGACTAATTTTCCCCCAATCACTTAATGGACGTTTTAAAAGAATTATTCCATGAGATGTGGGAATCACGTGTTATGTATCCTTAACTACCCTTAAACTGAATGGCTTGCTGGGCCACTTTTGACGGAAATTTAGAGTCAACTACATTACTGTGGCTTTGGAATCAGATGTAGACCAGTTGGGTAAGGATGGTGGATTTCCTCTTTAAAAGACATTAATAAACCAGGGGTCTTTACAACAAATGATAGCTATACTAAAACTAGCTTTACCTTGCAGACCTGTTAATTGAATTCAAATTCTACCAGTTTCCCTGGTAGGATCTGTATCCATGACGTTAGCGCATTAAACTGGCCCTTTGGATTACCAGCCCAGTGCCATTATCACTGTACCATCATCTCAACCCCCCTATCTATACCACTTAGCAGATACTTTATGGTACCCTTATAACGTGCTTTTCTTCTCGTCTTCATACCACCAACAAATGTGGCTACAATATACCTGGTCCATTCAACTAAATCATTATGATACTTTGTAAATAGTTAAGGCCTCAGCACTAATCCATTAGTTACAGTTTGTCTGAAAATAACACATTTATCTTAATTCTGTTTCCTGTTAGTGAGCTAATCCTCTGTTCATGTTAATACATCACCTGTGACGCTGTGAGCACTTGTGCCATGATATTTTACACAGTACTTTAATGAATGCCTTTTGGAAATCCAAATATGCTACATTTACTGGTTACTCTTCATCTATCTTGTTTGCTACATCCTCAAAGAACGCTTATACATTTCTCAAACGTATTTATTTTGTAAAGGCTGCGTCTCCTGACATCAGCACGTGTGCACTATGCATCACTTCAAACCATGCAAGCACATACAAACAGTTTCAGGTGGACATGGCCCAGGGAGGGAGAGATCAGGACCTGGGAAGAGGGGGCTGGGGGAGATCAGGGCCTGGGGAATTTGGGACCATGGGGCAGGGAGAGATTGGGCTGTAGGACAGCGAGTGATTGCAACTGGGAAGAGGGGAAGGGATAGAGATCAGGACTTGGGAAGAGGGAAGTGGGGGAGATTGGGACCTGGGCACAGGGAGAGATTAGGGCTGGAGGGGGAGGGAGAGATCAGTACCTAGGAAGAGGGGGTGGGGAAGTTTGGGACCTCGGGAGATTGGGACCACTGGGCAGGGGGAGATCAGAAGTTGAGGTGGGGGAAGAGGGGGAATGGTAGATCAATACCTGTGTCGGGACCTGGGAGAAAACCAGAGGGATGTGTGGGTGGAAGTAAGGCTGTGGGATCGTGGGAGAACATAGAACATAGAACAGTCCAGCGCAGTACAGGCCCTTCGGCCCACAATATTGTGCCGACCTATTATCCTACTAAGATCAAACCACCCTGCATACCCTACATTTTACTATCCTCCATGTGCCTATCCAAGAGTCGTTTAAAAGTCTCTAAAGTATCTGACTCCACTACCACTGCCGGCAGTGCATTCCACACACCCACCACTCTCTGTGTAAAGAACCTACCTCCGACATCTCCCCGATACCTTCCTCCAATCACCTTAGAATTATGCCCCCTCGTAATAGTCATTTCCGCCCTGGGAAAAAGTCTCTGACTATCGAAGAAGGTGGGCTGGGAGCCTGGATCCTGGGCCTTTCTTGTCAACTGCCCCCAACCCCCATCCAGCTTCTGGACTCTCTTCCCTCCTCAATCCAGGGGACTACTTCCCTGTCCTGCGTATCCTCTCTCCACCACTGAACCCCATTCCAAAATCGCGCCTGCTTCCCGGTGCATGTGCAGCACTGCATTTGCATCACAGCATCAGATGATGTAAATCGTACATGATGATGCACTGTGTTCATGTGGGTTCCCGAGTGAATGAACACACATAGCTGCTTGTGGTTGCGGGTGTCATCAAACACTGCCTTTTTGTAAAACCATGTTGACACTGCCTGACTGTTTTATGGTTTTCCAAATGTTCTTCTACTATTTCCTTAATAATAGATTGCAGCGTTTTCCCAATGACAGATCATAGGCTAACTGGCCTATAGTTTCCTGCTTTCTGTCTCCCTCCTCTTCCGAACAGCCTTGATGAAATGATTGCTGAAATCAACAGCCACAGGGGAGGAAAGCTATCACTTTCAGAGGAATTTTCTCCAGCTAATCATCAGGAAATCAGATACATTTGCAACTTACTGAGGCTCTTTTTGCAACATGTCCATCACAAGGGCTTTAAACTCAGCACTGTATTTATCAGTGATTGGAGCAAATTGCCCCTTCATGATTTTATTCACCACTGCTGGCAAATTAGTTCCTATAAAAGAAAAAGAAACAGTAAGACCATGGGCTTTGATGTGCCCTTTTCATATCCTCAATCCTGAGATAACTGACCAGTGAACCTACATTTGGTGGGATTATTAGCCAAGATACTGATTGTTTTACAAGACTGCAAACAAAAAACACTTTTTGACAAAAAAGTCCCCCAATTACTTGAGAATGACTGAAGACGTACAAAAAACAAGATGCTTTATCTTATCATCTTCATCATCATGTTAACAATAAAAACTATTCTGATACTTAAAATCTTGTACTACAATATTTACAGTACCCTTCTAATGAATTCAGATCATATTTTTTCCCTCAGTTTCTTTGTTGATACAGATCTTAATGGAGTTCCTCTGTCACATTCTTGGGATATTCTTATAATGAGTCTCAATGCAAGGATAGATCAGGAGCGCATCCAGGAACTAACATATCTATTTTTACCTCCGCGTTCTCCAGGGTCCAACAGTGTTTTCATTGTTTTATGGATGGCCAGGATATTTTCATAGAATCATAGACTCCCTACAGTGTGGAAACAGGCCCTTCAGCCCAACAAATCCACACCGACTCTCGGAGCATCCCACCCAGACCCATCTCCCTATAACCCACCTAAGCTAGGAAAGGTTTGGAGGGATCATAGAAATTTACCACAGGGATGTATTGGAATTGTTATGGATTGATAATCAACCTGCTCGACCACATTATGAATGGATCTTCCATGGTTATCCAGTCCTGATTGGGAATCAAACCCAGAGCCTCTAGCTCACAAGCAGGGACACAAGCCACGGTGCCACAAGACTGCCATTTTCTGTAAGAGCCGTGGCTTATTTTACCATATGGCAGCTATTGTTTTTTATTTAACTGAGTCATTATTTTCTCATATCTCTTACCTTCAAATGTGCGCTGACGGCATGCCATCTCGTAAAGAATACAACCGAGTGACCAGATATCTGATTTGTCATTGTAACATTTTCCCTCACATATCTCTGGGGAGATGTAAAAGGGAGTACCTACACAGAATAGAGTGTCAATTAGATAGACTCACCCTGGCATCAGAGTCTTTAACAGTTAATTAACTGGGAGAGTTGTTCACTGCTGGAAGTGTGTTGACAAACAATCATATTAATGCAATACCTTCTACATACATGCCACCAATAGTCACTCACATTTGGTTTGAGCATTCTCCTGTGTGGCATGCTTTTTATTTCCTTGGACCATAATATACTGCCGAAGTATCACACTTAAAAGTCCAACGTTTCTTTATTTATACCTATTCACTCATCTGTTACTGAGGGTTACATCTCCCTGCAAAGCTCAAGATACTGCATGCCTTCAAGATGCCCATCCCTGCAGAACATTTGAGTTATTGCCAGCCTTCAACATACATGTAAACATACCACTATGCAAAACATTCTTTGTAATATCTCAGCACATATCATAACTAATTACAGCCATCGTTGCCCACCCCTTCTATATTGTCTCTATCTGCAATGTATTCCTACCCATGCCTGTTTATCTCTGCTCTTACCTGAGGCCAAATGCCCAACTCTTAGCCACACTCTAATACCTATCCCATACCTTGTTGTTCTCAAGCACACGTTTACACCTTTCTTTGTCCATCAGTTGCTTGAAGTAAAGCTCACCCAAGATTGTGTGTGCTTCACTTCCTGTCGTCATCACCTTGGCTACCCCAAAGTCACCAAGCTTCACTTCGCCTTTCTTGGTAAGGAAGAGGTTTGCTGTCTTGAGATCTCGGTGCAGCACGTTGTGTTTGTGGAGGTAAGAGATCGCAGCCACCATCTGATGAAAGAGATTCAGAATTTGCTGCTCTTCTAACTCCTGACCCTGAAGCAAAAAGACATTTAACCTTCTCAGGATTGTGAAAGCATCCTTGCTACAGACTAAAGAATGCCACACCATAAGAGTTTGGCTCATCAAATCAGGTACCGTCAGCATGATATGAATTCTGCTACAGTCTCCTGAGATTGAAGGGTGTTGTAGGGAGACACATCCTGACCCCAAAGCTTAGAAGTGAAAAGCTAGGATCACTCTGATTAATTTAATTTCAACACAGTGTGGAGCTGGAGGAACACAGCAGGTCAGGCAGCATCAGAGGAACAGGAAAGTCAATGTTTCAGGTCAGAATCCATAAAGGCATTTCAAAATTAACTTGTGGAGAAATTAGAGCAAGGGCCGTGGAGATAATGAGCTGATATTTTCAGAAGGCATTAGAATAGGCTCCATATGCATAGCAATACAATGAGCTAAATTTGAAACAGAAGGTAGTAGAAATCAGAGGGTTTGAATGAGAGACAATAGTGTAACTAGCTGGCTTTGTTCTACATCCTGTGCTTTTTACACAGTCTAACAAAAGGCAGAGGGCATTAGTGTCATACAGAACCTCCAATGAAGGGTGAGAAGGGTGATGTTAAAGTTGAAAAAGTGCAGAATGGACAGTTCTGAGCTTTATTTAACCAGATGTTTTACCTTTGATGAATTCTCTCATAGTAACAGCTTGTCAAATGAGCAAGTATCTCAAGTGTCCTCCAGAACCACTCTAGCAAAGGTAATTCAAACAGATCGCAGCAATGTTTCTGCACTTTACAATCAGTGCGTTTTACTCATTATATATCATGATATTAGAAACGGCAGGGGAACCCCAGGTGGACAGAGGAAGTGCTTCAGTGATACCCTCAAGGCCTCACTGGTGAAGTGCAGCATTCCGACCAACACCTGGGAATCAGTGGCCCAAGACCGTCCAAAGTGGAGGAGGAGCATCCGGGAAGGCATCAAGCACCTTGAAACTTGTCTTTGAGTAAAAATGGAAGCCAGGAGAAAACAGCGAAAGGAGTGTGCTGCCACACCAAGGTCCCACCCACCCCTTCCTGTGACCACCACCTGCCCCAAGTGTAACAGAGCCTGTGGTAGCCGCAATGGTCTGTACAGCAACCGATGGACTCACCCTGAGAGTGGAAGAGAGTCATCCTCATCTACGAGGGGCCACTGATGACATGACATCATGATACTGATCAAAAGGAAACCAAAACTAATGCTCCTTCTCATTTACAAAAGCCTCCTTGAACTATTTATTTTGGGAAGTTTTCTCCTCACAACACCACCCAAGTATCTCCCTGTATACCTGCTGTGCCAAGTACTGTGCTAGTGTGCCCCCGTCTGCATACTCCATTTCAATCATCAGCACACCATCCTCTTCAAAGCTGTCATAGTAATTGATTATGTTGGGGTGGTCCAACATTGAAAGCACTTTCACCTACAGCAGAGGAGATACAAGAAAACAAAGCAGCATCAGTTACATTATACACTGACTCATACAGAGCCTGAGGGTTAAGAACTGCATATGTTTACCCACAAAGAAACATAGGGTCAGGGCAGGAGCCCTATACACTCAGTCCATAAAAGCTACATGGCCAAGGACTCACTGACAGTAAATCATACGGTCAGACCAATATCATGTTAAATGCAACAGGCTGAATTTTCCAAGCTATGTAATGTGGTTTGGGGCAGGAAAATGTGGCAGCTACATTGGGATGGCACCTGACCCATACTTACCACCGGGGATGTTTCCCGTACGTAGGCGAGGACTCAGATCGACTGTCTGTGTTACACAGTCAGGTGGCCAATCAAATACCCAATCATGTCCAGGATTGTGAGCACTGATGGAGTAGTTTCCTCTCAGGTGCAGAAGCTGCTATCACAATGAAAGGTCAGGAGGCCATTGGAACAAAAGGCTCCATGTGACAAAAGGAAGGGGAAGGGGGCAAGTGGGGCACTCAGGGCCCAGTCAACACACCTGCATTGGGGTCTCCCTTCTTACTCTGAGAGGAGCGCAATGGCTTCACCCCACTTCCCCCCTTCAGAATTTCTAATGCATGTGCATGCTTCCAAAAGGAGCCTTCTTGTTGAGATGCTTTCTCAGTTTCCAACCTGCCTCAGCAGCACCCACTACTCCCTGTGGGATATTGAGGGTTTGGAACTGCTGGTTCCCTGATAGGGCTGACAGCATTGGGAACTCATCCAGGACAGCGAATGCTGAGGTGGGAAGACCACCTCTGGGAAGGGTGCACCATTAGATGCACTCTGCAATTTGTGGGTTCCAGATCCCTGTTTAGACCAGATGATGGGCTTCTGAAGACTGTGAGAAAATCTGGTTCGATACTTTCTTCCCTGTCAGCGACTGGCCCAGTTGGTAGAACTCTTCCTCCTCTGAGCCATTGTGGGTTCAGGTCTGATTCCAGAACCTGCATACAAAAAATCAAAACCTGACAAACCAGTGCAATACCGAGGGCTTTGACCGCAGTTGGCAACTTTCAGAAGAAATGTTAAACTGCAACCCTATCTGCCCTATCACAGAGACATAATGAGATCCTACATTGCAATGACTTTGAGGGAAAATGGGAGGAGGAATCGCCAGTGCCGTGTCCAATGTTATCCTTCAACCAATTATCACAAAAGCAAACTAGTTGCTCGGTATGTGCAAATCTGCAGCCATATTTCCTACATTACACCAACACTTAAAAACATTTACAACTTTAATTCCACTTCAATGACATTAAAGTACTTTGCAACATTCAGCAGTTATGAAAGGTGCTATATAAATGGAAGGCTTTACATTGTTTTCAGCATGGTCCTTATCTCAGTAACTTTATGACTGCATATGGCACAGTCAGTCAAATATACTGGCGCTAAATACAAACCTCATTCATTGCTCTCTGCCTCTCAATGTGGTTTAGTTCATGCATATTGATTTCCTTCAATATGACCAGTGAATCGTCATCCTTCTTCCGATATAGGACTGCAGTCCCATAGGCTCCTGCCAAGAAAAGGACATGGGCTTTTATTAGAAATCTGCTCTGGCACAGAAAACTCAGCCTTCACACAATTTCTGAAGGACCTATTTCATTTACTCACATGAAATATTTCAGTAACTGTGGAAAAGGACAAACATGGAGATTAGACTGGAAAATTTCATCTGAAGGAAAAACGTGGTTTTGTCCCTGAGAGGATAGAGAGGAGTTTTCCAGTGATTGCAGGGGTGAGGGATTTTAGATACAAGAGTGAGGCTGGAGAAGCCGGGGTCATTCTCCTGGGAGGACCAGAGTTTGAGGGGAGATTTGATAGCGGTTTACAAGATTCCGACAGGTTTCGTAGGCAAAGATAAGCTGTTCCAGTTAGCTGGTAGCAGGACTATGGTGGGGATCTCATAGAAACCTATAAAATCTTGCTGGAATTGGACAGGCTAGATGCGGGAAGAATGTTCCCAATGTTGGGGAAATCCAGAACTAGGAATCACAGTCTAAGACTAAAGGGTAAGCTTTGGGGCCAGTTCACTAGATGTATTCTAGAGTGAGCTGGACATGGCCCTTGCGGCTAAAGGGACCAAGGGGTGTGGAGAGAAAGCGGGACTGGGATTACATGATCAGCAATGATCATATTGATTAGTATTGCAGGCTCGAGGGGCTGAATGGCTGAATCCTGCACCTATTTTCTATGTTTCTATGGAGCATGTATTTCAAATTATGGGCAAGGGACATGGGTGACAAGTGAGGAAGAACTTTTATGAACTGAGTCAGAATGAACTGTAACTCACTGCCAGTGAAGGTGGTGGAAACTGGGAGGATGAATGATTTCCAAGGAAAAACAGATGATCATTTAAGGGAAACAAATATACAGAGCCATAGGGGAAAGGGGAAATGGGTAACTGATTGCATTTCTCAACAGAGAGCTGACATGGGCCTCGCTCCATACCTTAGATAAACTCTCTATGACTCTACAATTAAACATATAGTTGGCGATGAAGCTCAAATTTGGTAAAAGTAATTCTTCGGCGTCACGGATCTATTTATTAAAAGTAAGGTTTATGTCAAGTTGTTAGTGGCAGACATTTTTAAGGCCATTATTTCCTGGAGTATTGTGTTCCATTCAGTCATGCCTTCTTGTTCCCTGACCTCACCTTTTCCTACTATGTGTATCTTTTCAAACTCTGCCAAAGTTTGCGGATGTGGGCGCTTCAGTTTATCACTTTCACAGTAAAGATCTAACACGTGCATCTTTACCCCATCCAGCACCTGGTTTGGACCTGCCCGTAGCTGAGTGCCCAGCAGGTTTCTTGCCATGGTAACAGGAACACCTGCAAAAAGAGACTGTGGGTCAGGATTATGTCTCATTATTGCAAATACGAAGAGTTAGTAACATGGAGTGAAAATACACCCTTTGCACTGCCTTCACCCCTTACATACACAAAACAAACTGATGAACAACAGCACATTTCCACTGATGATATAGTAATGCAATATAGTAATGTCTAATCCAGATAAACAGAATTATTCAATTTCTACTTTAAAGAAACTCTAGGACACTACCAGGTGGTTTACAAGATACTGTTCCCTTTCGTATCTGCAGTGACTTCTCCCAATTACTGTCATTATTTGCTGTTTCAAGGCCACGAGGGATATTCTAACAGGAGCATGCTACCTCTACCTTACAATGAGGTTACCTGTGCTGCTGCCATCTCCACAATTCATTTTGGAGGGAAAACACATGGTATCTGTTCCAATTCCACTTTGTTTGGACAATGGGACATATGCAGATAGGGTGAGAGGGAGAACTATGTTTCATATGTACTTTTTCTCAGCAGTCATTGAACTAAGCACATTATGGTCTGAAATCTCTAATTGCAGCAGCATGAAGCCAAAATGTAACTATGAAGTTGAAGAGCACTAAGGACTTGTAATTAAGTTACAATGTTACATTTACATGATCGCATCATTATTTAGAAAATAAAACCAATAGTACTTTGCATCCTTCTGACTACTGTGAACAGGTCTAGATCTAGAACAGGTCAGAAGCATATCTGTCATAATAATAATTTAATAAGAAAATAAATTATTTTCAAACAAGATCAGTGCCTAATTTGTTAATGAACACCAGATTTTTTTCTAAAATTAGGATTGAATACCATTTTACTTTTATTCTGCTAGGATCTTATACATTTCAATCAATTTACTTCACTCTGCTAAACTCCAGTGGAAACAATCCAGTCTATCAAATCATTCCTCATAAGCCAACCCACTCATTCCATGCATCAATCAGTCTGCAGTTCTGTCAGTTTGCTCAGGACTACTGCCCTGGTGAGTGAAACATGATCAAATCAGCCATGATCTTATTGAATAGTGGAACAAGGCTGAGGAGTTGAATGGTTTACTTCTGCGCTCCCCCACTTCGTATGTTTATCCAGAAAACATAACTGTGCACACATTACCAACATCCAATTAGGTTTAATTGCTGATAAATAAATAGAATGTAATCTGAAATTGTTCAGACTTCCTTTTCTTTCATGGTTAAGTTGTCCAGATGCCAAGAAATAAAATTTCTCCCAAACGCATGTACACATATAAGTGGAATGACCAAGGCAAATTTTACTTCAATATTATTCCATATCCAGTACTGTTTAGACAGATATCAATCTGGTACACCTTGTTAAAATTCATAGCAAGAACAAAATGAACTGGAACCAATGGTCCAATTTGTAAGGTCATTGGCTTCTTGGAATTGAAACTGTTCACTTTTATATTAAAATGAATGATCTGATCTGAGTTCTTTGTTTCTCCCTCCCGGTTCCTTCTCCTCTTTCTCAAAGGTGCTGTCAAGTAATTATCTCCAATGATGGTTCTGTGAAATGAGCCTTTGGTAATGTATCACCCCATCCACGACTACTTTGATTGGCTCCGGGCATTCCTGACCTTCTGCAAATTCCAAGGTTCAGGAAGCATTCTGTAAAGTGAATGCATACTCCCAGTAGCAAAGTAGCTGGGATTCCTTCAATGTAGACAATGGAAATCAGGAAAGCAAGTATTTTGCTAGAGAGGCGTACTAACAGGTCTGGACCATGAGGACAATATCTTTTAAAATGTCCAGTGATTTTCCAGAATGGTTGGCATCCGTAGGGAAACAATTGCTTCCCAAGAGTAGCCTCAGGAAACCAGCCTTTTAGGAGACAGAAGGTCTCATGTCTATCAGCATATAAATCTGGCAAGAACAGGTACTCCTGCTTAACGTGTGAGTACACTTTAATAGGACACAATACCCTGGATGCCATCTACTCCTCTTTCTCTGATAACCGCAGTGGGGATCCACTTAGGAAGTGTCTAGTCTGGAAGCCCAGTGAACTCAAAACATGCAGAGACCTGACATAAATAATCCCACTCTATGGTCCATCACCACTAACTCTAATATCATTTCCAAACATCAGTAAATGATGCAATTATGCAGTCTGTCTCTGTGTTCAAAGTAACAACGTACTTGTAGTTTTCTGCTGGGTGGGGAGAAGGAGTTGATGAACAACAGGGTGTTCATATCAAGGTCCAGAAAAATTAGTTTGCCACATTATCAGAACAAACTAAATTCAGAGAAGAGATTCATTGCCTTTCAGTTAAGTGTTGAAATTTTCTTTGTCAATTTGCAGCTTTGTGCAGAATTGTTAATATTGCCTGGAGCTTGGCTGATATTTCCTGTGGCAGTAGTTGGTTCAATTGCCCTACTGTCCTGGTGACCTTCAGTACATGCTGCATGTCAAACCTGGGCTGTTCCTGCTTCTAAGACCTACTGTCTCACCAAAGAAGGCTTTCAACTGCTCTCCCCATGTCTACATGGGTTTCCTCAAGGTGCTCCAGCTGCCTCCCCTCCTCCACCACAGTCCAAAGATGTGCAGGTAAGGTGAACTGTCAATTACAGCCCATAATGTCCAGGGATGTGCCATGGAATAACCATGGAAAATGCAGGGTTTCGGGGACAGGGTAGGGAGGGTGGGTCTGGGTGTGATGGTCTTCAGAGAGTCGATGTGACTTGATGGGCCGAATGGCCTGCTTCCATTCTATGATAACCATTAATGAGCTTCCTTGTGGGTTTTCTTTCTCACCAGGGGATTTTTCAAACTGGCATCCATCTCTCACTATGCACAGTGTTGCCTCACAGCCTGCCAGTACTGGTCCAATAAGAACTCTCTCTGTGCCTAATTTTAATCATCAGAGACATAGAGATGCCTAATAACGCTAAGGAGTTACTTAACAAGATGGAAAGATTGAAATCATAATTCAGCTGAATGCAGCAGGTGCTCTGGGAATAACATCACAACTCTTTGAACAGCTCACAGTGCAATGGGAATAATCATTAGCTTTAGCCCAATAATTTATTGCCAGAGCATGTTGAAACAGAATCGATTTTGGGTTTATCCCACCACTGTTAATGAAAGTGAACATGCGGGAGGTCTGCTAATAGCATGAAGTATTTCTAAGGCTTTACCATCTTGGCCATTTAAGCAATATTAATCAACTGAGAACTGCAGCTATAAATGCTAAAAATTAATTGAACAGTAAATACATATTAAGACTATCAGCATTAATACTATAGCATAGGGAAATTGTATAAGTGCTGATCAATTATCTCACTGACCTGCAAAACTTCTATTTTGAATAATTTGTCAAATCATGCTTCACACCACACAAGGTCAGAAGGGTCCCCAGCAATGAATTTAGGCTACATTTACCCTACCACAACATGTCGGTGCAAGGCAAAATCACAAATCTAATGTAAATACACTCTATTGTCACAGATTTGTGAGGAGTTTAAATGGAGAGCTTCTCATATAGATAAATATGTCTCTGCTTACAATATGTAATTAATATTACTGCATAATGAGCTCCAATTTTTGGGAGTTTATTGCAGTTGAGGAAAACATTAACAGCTTGTTTGGTAAAAACCAGTTAGCTATTTCCTTTATGAATGTTGGAGTTAATTATTTTTCTGAGTTCTGATTCTCCAGGTAAATAATTAAAGGATTCCTTGGTGTAATAATTTATGAGGTTCTCCTGCTTGTACAGCTGGCTAAATTCTGGAAAGCTTTGACTCCAAAATATATAAAACCTAGCAAAGTCAGACTAGTAAAACATAGGCAGCCATAAAGAATTGCTGTAATGAGATAAAAGTAGAAATTGATGG